ACCTTCTACAGGTGCATCATTTCCAACTTTTACCAGATATATATGAAGGAAATGATATTATACAACTTACACTCACTAAAACACCTCGCAGACGACGTGAAACGTTATGCAGCGATAGACAATGTGGCTTGTTTCCCATTTGAAAAAAAAACATTTGGGAAAGCTAAAAAAAAGATGATCCGCCGACCGCAAGACCCGGGGCCCAGGTGGTCCGCCGCATTGGGGAACAGAAAATATGCAGTGCGCCCATTCAGACGCCTGACGGATGCAAAGGAGCAGATTTCCAGGGACCAGTGAACTTCTTTGGAAGGTGCCGCCAGGACAAACAGTTTCAAGGCAAGTGATGCATCCGCACACAAGTTCTCCCGACAACCGTGTGGAAGTCAGTGGAAAGGTAGCCTTGGTTCGAAACATACTAGTTTCCAACTTCGCAGAAGTCATGCTTATAATTCAGTATTTTGAGAGGGAAGGGAGCTTTTTCTGCTATCTGTTGAACTCGCTCGATGTCGGCATCAAGGTGATCTTAAGATTGAGCGGCAAAAGTGATCTGGTTCCTGTGGAATGTGTATCATCAAAGAGGCTACTGCTTGCAAAGCGCAATGCACTGACCTCCGTTCCAACGCTGCACTGTAAATAAGGCAGATGGCAGCATGGCAAGGCGGGCGATATCTTCGCATGCTGATCTTCTACGAAGTGTTTGCCCAAGGTAGTCTGACTTGCGATGTACTTACGCGCATAATGACTGCATGCACTTTCTCCACTTGATGACCGCATGTACTTTACTGAGTTCGTGCTTGTTGTCTCGCGTTTGACTTCACGAGTTCTTACGTTGGGATGCCGTATAACAGGCTTTGTTTTGGCATGAACTTGGTGTGTTTGAGCTGACCCACGTGGCGGTTCAGATTGTAAATACCACAGCTGTGGCCTCCCATGGATTTTGTCCCCCGATGACGTCCTCGCAATTTGCGAGCGCCATGCTAGTGATGTTTTCAGCCCAAGCTGCTTGGTTTTACCGTTCATTGCACTTCGAAAGCCGTGATTTGTGTCCGTCTCGTGTGGGTGGTGCCGCTGATAGATGGCGGTCCATATGACGGTCCGCCTGAGGGCGGTGTCCTCAGTCTTCGGTCACCGCTCTCAGACTGACAATTTAAAAGCAAAAACAACGGCGTAACGAGCGACTTTTGCATTGCCGGTTGCCATGGTTACTATTATGGTGGGTTTCATATCGGCAGTTTGCCGCTGACACTGCGGTGAGGGCCCCAGTTAGCCTGCGCGGCCGAACTTATGCGTTGCAACTGAAGATCACATGCATACTGGATTTCCAAATTAAATGAAATTGTGCATTTTCCCCTCATGATGATGTTCGCTGTTGTGGATTTCGATGATGGAATGGCCATCATTCCCAGCTGCTGGTTATCTGGAGAAAAGGAAGAGAACTGCTACTGGCCGCCAGGCAGCATGATGACCGTCAGGAAACTGGCACAGTCACAGGTGACGCACGATAAAAACGTCTGACGCCGCTACAAAATTCAGTTGCTGGGAAAAGCAGCTATTCTGAAAATCTGAAGGAGGCAGAGTACACAGTCAACGCGCGGAGACAGCGAGAAGGTGGCTAAGAAGAGCAGGTAAGTTGATGCTTGATTTTCATTCGTAAGATTTTCGGTTCGTCCAAACCAAGGTCAACAAGCAGGTGTGATAGATCAATATAATCTCAAAACTAAGCATTCCGTGAAGAACACTTTGAGAATAGGCATAGAAGGGTATCTTAGGGCGATGCAGCCGATGGGGTCGCACAAATCTAAGGGGTCGCCCCTTTAGACTTGCATTATTCTGGTCGTTTGATATGCTCTCGTCGAGCTCCTCCTCCCCCTTAAGAAAATAGTGTGGCGACCGGAAGTAACTCCTCTCCCTCGGGGTCGAAGGTCGCAACACCTTTAATCAGATTAAGACGCCCATAAGGCTTCTGAAACATAAAAACGGGTCTAATCGCCCCCAAAAGGGATCCAGTCTGCAAAGCTTCCCCGGATCTAACAACGGATCTCCTTTAGCGACGCGACTGGCACACTTGGCCAGGAGCGTCGCCAGAATTTTCGACCGGGGGCTGCGGTGATTTGCGACAGGGGGGGGGGGGGATAATTTTTTTTACTACCATTCCCATCCCCACTGAGGTATTCGCGCACAGAGAACGGACTTCGAAACCATCGAAGCGCTGTCAGGTACAGTACCTAGCGTGTCGCCGAGCTTTTGATGGTTTGCTGTGGTGCCTTACATAGTTGTTTCAGCTGCGCATCGCACACATTCACCCGGTTGTCTGGTTGTTGAATTACGTCTGTTGGGCTCAGCATGACAATGCCTACGCTGGCGTCAAGATGTTTTAACACAAAATTGTGTCCCTAGTCATAAAGCTCCATGAGCACTTGGATCCGCTGTTGCGTTTGGCCTAACGAGCCCATCATGCACTGATTTAACCCCTCCAAGCTGTGCCACTGCGTCGTTGACTCAGACCGCAAAATCTCCGTCGATATGTTTATTCCAGAAAAACCGCCGCTCAGCTAAGAGTTGTCCATCCCTGCACTCAGCACAACCAGGAACCTAACACCAGACGTTTCCCCGTAGACCCTGTTATCGACGCTGTACCGCCTCACGCACCTATTCAGAAAAATCGACGATCACTGAAGACGGGTGCAGGCACGACCCTCGCCAGCAAAGAATTCTGACGGAAAGAACAATCCGGTTGTACGAGACAGAGAATGACTAGTTCCGACCGGGGCCCCAGGAGCCACGTGGTGTGGCGTCGCGAGCTGAGTGAGCTGCCACGCCAAGCCTGATGGATGGGGCGCGGGTGCGTCCCGCCAGGCTCTCCCAGCCGGACGGTCGGGCGTCCAGTATGTGGCCATAGGGCGGTGGTGGCGCTCCCACAAGCATGACGTTTACACAAACATAGCGAAAACCGAGTGGCAGGTGCGCGGAGATAGTTGTTTGTAGCCTGTGTATTAATTTCATCCTTCATATCGCTCATTGGCAGGGATATCGATGTTATTGACCTTTGCTTTATAATTCCCCATGAATTTCCTTCTTCGGGGGAAAGACTGCGTGACATTGGATGACGCTATCAGGCAACCTGCGTCCGACCAAATTGGGTCTGCTGGTAGCCCCCCTCCAATTTAAGTTGTTCTTGATTAACTTTTTAACCAGCAGCCTTCGCCCTCATAAGCTGGGTGTCGATGCGTCCCCCCCCCCCCTTCAATCCCGCGTTTTCTAAGAATATATTTTCGTCCTGTCATGAATCGAGCCCAAATTCGCAGCAGCCCAAATTACAGTTCCCAGCGCCGAAATCATCTTTTTTACCGAAAACATGTCCTTAGCACTTCTGGTCTGGGAGCAGCGACGGGTTTTGAAGAGCACCGCACGGCGATCTACGGCCGGCGCGGGCGACGGGCGGCAACCGACGATTCCGCGGGCCGCGCACGACGGGCTCAGCACTGGAACATTAACGGAATCATACATGAAAAAATAAGCTCAAAATGTGAAATAGCGCATTTTTTACCCAGAACCCAGCTGGTATATGCCTGCCTAGGTTTCGTGACACGCTGAGTTAATTTTCAGGAAAATGTCACCCTTGACCAGGCATAGTAAAGTCAGCTCTTGACATAAGATCATAACAATTATTACCAATTTTGAGATCTTGTTGACATCTATCCACTGGTACTTTCAGCTAGGCTCTACCTCTCTTATCTCGAAGCGGCAAAAGTGGCAAATCCCAACATCTGCTGCTCTCCCTCACTGTGCACCCATTGTACATGGATAGGAAAAATTCAATGTGGGAACATATTATGCCAAGCCTAATACACCCTTGTGCCAAATATGGCAGCATATGGATAGCCATCTGGGTCCAGATGGAGCCCAGACTGGCCCACCAGCAGCTCATGTTGACATGGGCCCAGCTTGCCCATGCTCAGCCCATACAAACCCCAGTCCAGGTAGCTGCCCCATGTTGTACACTAATTGTACACAATGCATCAAAACCTCAAGACAGGAAAACACTTAGAGCCTACAGCAATGTGTGTGGAAAATATTCATTGTGCATGTGGCATATGGGTAGCCTATCTGGGCCCTACACTGAGCCTAGACACCAACCCACCTCAGGTCCATGTCATAAGCCCAGCCTGCTCACATATGGTCCATATGGATCCCAGGTATGATGTGGGCACCCCCTGTGGGGCCCAGATGGAGCCCAGATCATGGCTCAATGGTAGCCCATGCTCACATTAACCCAGATGCCCCACATTTAGCCCATGTGGGCCCCATTTGGGCACAATGGTTGGGGCCGTGTTCAAGCCATTGAAATAAACATTTCAAGCCTGGCAGCCCTTTTATTAGCTATTCTAAATCTGCAATGGAGACATCTGCACATATAAGTCCACAATAAGAGCATTAACGCTCAAAGGATTGAAATATCCTTTGGTATTCCAGGCATTCAAATGTTTGAAATAATCAGTAGGATCATGAAGAGTTTAAGTAGCAATTTTAGATTCACAAACATACATGCCATTTAAAATTTACTTGTCCGCACAGACGGCCCGACGACTGTACCAAGATGACTGCGGTTTCCACGTTCTAATGGAAGTCTCTGTTCCGTCTGGTCCTTTTAATGGTCTTTCGTTTTTGTACTGGTGATGCGGCCATGAAGCAGGTTTTGATTATATCACGATGCCTTCTACGGTTGCATGCTGGAAATAATTTTTTTCTGATGATATTTTCGTCGATATTTATGTGTGGCTCGCATGTTTTGCTCCCTCGCAATGCCATTTGTTTACGTGCACGTGTTGTGAGACGTGTCATTTCCGAACGACGAATTAAGTGTGCTTATTCATACGTATTTTGTGACCTGAGCACAGAACTTTTTTAATCCTCCACAAACGAGATTTAACATTTCTCTGTCTCAGGCACACCAATATTTCATCCAGGCTATCCGAAAGGAATAAAGCGGCTAACTCAATTAAATTCTAACCAACTCTATTTCCCTAGGCCGGTAGCGGCAAAAGCGCCAACGAAACCAATTGTGTTTGGTTGCGTATCCTCCTTCCGCAATCCGTGGCTTCGGTTGTATCGTCGTTTGCGAAAAATGAGCTGTAAGCATCAGAATGGGTTATTTGATATTGTAGCGGGTAGTGGAAGGTTTTGATAGTGCGGCATGCCTTTAAGCAACACTACGAATTCATGCATTTGAGTGGTCTTAAGCACCGAGCAATTTGCCAATATGCCTAAGGACATTGCTATATGTTACTCGAGTACCTGCGAGTCGGTGTCTAAGGGTGGTCTATGACTTCTCCATCATGTCATTCATATTGAATTCTAAGTATAATAGGTCGGTTCGTATTCTGTGTTGATGTGTGCGCCTCAGTAGAGCGTGCTGGTAATCACTTCATTTTCTATTTGTCCATTTTCAAACATAAGTATAGAAATCCATGTGTGTATGATTTTGCTTTTTTGGCCATTGTAGGTATTACATAGTCCAAAGAAGTAGTCCCATGCAGGCATCTTAATTCCTATGTCAGTGCAAATTTTAATTGATGCTTATGTTTGTCCTTAGACGACCTGCACCTCGTGGGATGTACCTTTGCATCTCATCACTGACATGATGTAATTCATCAGCCCTGATTTGCCAGGCGTCATTGCACTTGTAGCTCAGACCGCAAGCAATAACTCATGCCAAATATGTGTGGTGTGTCAGGAGAAAAACTTTCAGTTAATGTGTTCCATAAATCTGGTACGTGGCTGCTACTAATTTCAGTTTACACAAAATCATTGATTCATTAACTTGTAATATTGTAAATCTAATTATGGCAAAAATGCTATCAAACTTTCAGTTTCTGTGCAATAATTTTTTTTAAATTTTGCACATGACCACATTTATGAAAACTTAGCTTAGGCAATATGGGGTTACTTGAGTTTGACATGAGGCTTAGTGCAACCATGCCATGATGTCAGGTAGGTATCCTGTTCAGTGAGTAGGTTTCTAGCATGGTGCCCTGTGACACTGGCTGTTGGATACTTAATGGGAATGTTTCACTTTTGAAGATATCAGGGCAAGCACCACATGTGATGAAACAAGCCACATATAACTTTTGGTATACTCAGAGGTGGAAAAGACTGCTGTTAGACAGCTTAGTCCCCTGTTCAGTAAATATGCTTCTCAATATATTATGGTTTGATCATGTCATTGTACCTTGCACAACATTGGTTGAGAGCCAATTGAGAGCTGTTATGTCTGGAAATCATGCTGTCAAATGCCAGGGTGGCAATGTATACCCTGACTCCAGGCACAAATGTGAAGGGGTTTGTGTGCTGTACAATGCTATTATCATATGAGGTAAGCATCAACTTATCACAGTTATCACATGTTGCATGAGCAGACTAAGGTGTGAGGTCACAGACATACCATTTTGCAGTACTTGAATATCACAAACATTTTTTATCCCTTCAAAATGTTTGGAACTCACATTGATAACATTCTGTATTGCACAATCTTGTGTGGGATGCAAGTGCACAGTTTCTGAAACCTTCCTAAAAATTGGAATATTTCTGAACTGAGAATGTTTGCTACAGTTAGTATCACTGGTCTTCACTTTATGCACAATGCCTCCAAAGCCTTGGACAAGCCTTGGCTTTGGTGAATTTGATTAGATATTTTGGGTATCAGATGTTTTTCTCCGTGGCTGTGCAAGTACTTTGGATCAAGCCATATTGCAGGTTCTCGGAAATGACAATTGATGTTGGTCTCTGTTCACAGTGTTCCAGATTTTTGTGCTTCTGTTCCTTGTGGGAACCTGTGTGACACTCACACCAAGTACTTTTCTGAGCACAGAAGACTTCAAACGGCTTGAAACCTTGTTTGAAGGACACTTGTCGGCAAAGAAAGATGTGCAGTCAGTATATTATGGTGCCTTGGGGTCAAAACTGATTGGAAAGCCAATACCACATGCACAGGTAGGTGGCCAGTGCAGTTTGTACCACCATTCAGCATGCTTGTCACATCTGAACAAGAAGTAATGACTCAGCTTGACTAATGGATGAGATACTACTGTTGTCCATATTTCATTAGCCTCTCTGAAGTAGGCATGTGTTGGTGACTGAGGCATGTGTTACCATTGTAATAAGTACTGTGTTGGATGCTTCTTTTTGTTATGCTATGGGTGCCTAGTGTATAAGTACATATTGTGCTTTTTGGGGCAAGGCTGCTTGGAGGCCTGAGTCTGTGATGCTAATGAAATCCTGTATTTTCAGGAGGTGTGCAGATACCTTAAGAGCCAAGTGGATACAGATGCCACCAATCTGTTCTTTGTAGCCAAAGCAGCTGCTGCTCTGCCAGGATGCAAGCTGACTGTGCCTGCAGATACAGTGCAGGTAAACATCTTAGGCTTCAGGTGGGGCTGGGATACAGTGCAGGTGAACATTGTAGGTTTCAGGTAGGGATGGGATACAGTGTGGGTAAACATTGGGGGCTTCAGGTGGGGCTGGGATACAGTGCAGATAAACATTGTAGGCTTCAGGTAGGGATGGGATACAGTGCAGGTAAACATTGGAGGCTTCAGGTGGGGCTGGGATACAGTACAGATAAACATTGGAGGCTTCAGGTGGGGCTGGGATACAGTACAGATAAATATTGGAGGCTTCAGGTGGGGCTGGGATACAGTACAGATAAATATTGGAGGCTTCAGGTAGGGATGGGATACAGTGCAGATAAACATTGTAGGCTTCAGGTAGGGCTGGGATACAGTGCAGATAAACATTGGAGGCTTCAGGTGGGGCTGGGATACAGTACAGATAAATATTGGAGGCTTCAGGTGGGGCTGGGATACAGTGCAGGTGAACATTGGAGGCTTCAGGTGGGGCTGGAATACTCTGCTTTAGGCTTTAGCCAGTGCTGTGGTAGCAGATCAGAAGGATCATGAGTGAGGCCATAGATGGACATGTATGAACAGGTCACTCCCAGGTCGAATGTTTGATGTGGTGGGCATCAGCCTTGGCCAGCTGTTTGATGTTGTGTCATGTTCTGGCTGCCTATCTCATTCACATGTTCCCTGTATTGTTAGTTGGGCTTGCATCAGTGTCCCACAGGCCGACATCAGGCTGCTGGTCCTTGCACGGACCAGCGGCCTGGCGTCAAGCAGCTGGTCTTCTGCATACCAGCAGCCTGATGTCAAGCAGCTTGTCTACTGCGGACCAGCAGAGCCATCCAGACTCAGCTCGGGTCTGAGGCCGGCGGCACCACTCCGCCTGCAGCACCGACCTGACGGGACCTGACTGACCACGGCCGTCCCTGCAGGCCCTGCAGCGCAGCGTCGGCGATAAGGCCCAGGTGTCGGACCTGTACCACGCCGTCGGCGCGCTGCGAGCGCTCAGCGAGAAAATCAACAGCAAGGCTGTCTCACAAGCGCTGCAGGCAGCGCTGAAGAAGGATGACGGCGTGCTCAAGTGAGCTTTCCCTCCACGCGATGGTGGGCGGCATGGACGTGTCCCTTGCCCTGCTACTGTTCCTGGTTTACACACCAACTGGAGTGGGCTGATGGTTGTCATGCAATAAAAGTGTTGAGGATCAAACAGCACGTACGTGTGTACCCGTGGTGCGTGTAAAAGCAGGTGAAACAGTTCAGCCACCCACTGGTATGTGTGTGCAGACACTGTGATGACTGCAGTGTCAATGCAGACAGTGTTTGTGCAGTATTCACTGGCTTGGCCATACAGTTGCAAGACACCACCATGCAGTCAGTTTGTTACATTTGCGAGAGCAGTGCTGCATGCCTATTTGTGTGATATCTTTCAGCCTGGGTTACGCGTTCCACCTGGCCAGCGAGCTGGATGGCGAGCTGGCGCCCTTCCTGGACCGGATCGAGGACGCTGTGGTGCAGGCCGACGAGGTGGACCAAAAATACCTGCAGTACGAGGGCGGCGTCGGCATCACCTGTGCGTACGCCTCTGGCGGTATCCGGGGGAGAGGCGGGGAGACGACGGCGAGGCGCCGTCGGCTCCTGGATGGTTCCATGTTGGTCCACTCGTGGGGCAGCGCAGGCTGGGCAGGGCTCGCTCTGTTGTGGTCCATGTCAGCCCTATAGATGTTCCTTTCCCCCTGTGTCTGCTGCCTGGCAGGCACTTACTGTAAAGGTTGTCATCACATACAATGTGAATGCCAGATGTGAAAGTCGTGACCCGTGCATTTTACCCCACGGTATTGCTTTATATTTCATTGAGGAATGTGCTGCTACATGAGGTACCTGTTATGACATGTGTTTCCCTTGCACATTAGGTCCTCAATCTATAAGTCATCATGGCTGTCAGTCTGTCCTTGGTGGCACATTTACCTGCCTGGGACATCAGTCAGTCACTGAGCCAGCCAGTCAGTCAGCCAGTCAGGCGACTGGGTGGGTCACCAGTCCGAGCTGCGCTGACTGAGAGGGCTCCGTGTGCTGACGCGCGGACCGGTCGCAGCGACTATCGTGACTGGCGCCTACCGCCTGGCGGAGAAGGCCAACAAGCGGCCAGCCATCACTGACGAGCAGGCCATCAAGTTCGCCAACTACCTCGTCAACAGGAAGTCGATCCAGTCGCTCAAGGGAGCATACCATCTGCTCAACGGACTCACCATGTTCTGCAGTAATAAGGTGAGCGGCCACGCGCTTTGCGGCTTCTCGACTGCTAGCGGCAGTCATGCTGCTAACCAGTCCCGGCAGAGACACGCCGCTGGCTGCTTTTAAACAGATGTTTTTGTTTGTTATGGCCTTGACTTACCTGGAGAATGGGCACCGCCTTGCATGTCTCGGCTGTGACCGTTCCGCCAGTGTTTGACGGCGTCCTGGTACGCCTCGGCCATTCGGTCCTCTTGTCGCCGTTTAGCAGTAAGCGAGCAGCGGCGCCATTTATCGGGGCCGCCTCAGCGTTCCGAAGTTCTTCAGTGGGGTTTCTTAAGCCCCCCAGTCCGTTTGTGGCGACGACGCTGCGCCGGGTCCTTTTGACCACAGCTATGATGTCTGCTGTTCATTCATGACTGTAATCGGAGACGCTCTTCGCCAGTCCCGCGCCCCGCAGTGTTATCTCTGTATCGTGCTCTGTGTCTGACGTGATACATATCGCCATCTATACGTCTTGTTGACTGTGCGGATATATGCCGTCAGAATGTGCGCAATTCTGGCATGGGCCGATGTGGGCCAAGAGTTCCACACGTCGCAGTGATGCTGTCGCCGTGTGTGACGTCGCGTGTGTGTCCGTCAGTTCCACCTGCCGGTGGTGATGTCGCTGGCGTCGCCGGCGGCGCTGAGCTCGGCTCGGCCGCGGCTGGCGGTCCAGGTGACGGACCTGCTCGGCCGCCCGCTGACGCACGACCTCACCCTGCTGGCCGACTCGGCCACCCGGCTCCAGGACGACGCCGTCGTCATCAGCAAGAGTCCCTTCGCGCCGTCCAAGGCTGACAAGTGAGCTGTCTCGCACCCCTGTCACAGGCACGCCGCGGCACCAGCAACGGTGGTGGCAAATACTCGATGTTGATGTTGGATGCTGGGTAGAGGGAGCTTTGAAGACTGCGTGATGAATTCCAGGCAATTTAATGTCTTTTATCTGGAGCTTAGAGGGCGTGTTCTACAGTTATGTGGGGTTTTGCACTGAAATACCCATGTTGACCTTCCGATGCAGTTCACAGTCCTGCCCTTCCTAAGACCTTAATTCCTCTTGTTTCTGAGCTACATGCTCGCGAAGATGTGTAGGCTATGCTGTTGTCAATCATTGTTGCGCAGCGTACAATGACATAATCAAGCAATGACTGTATCAAGGATCACAATTACTAAATAGAACTAGTGGTCTCTAGAGCAGTCTTTTCCTTTTAAAAGCATACTCACAGTTGTAAGGTAGTTCGTTTCATCATGACTGGTGCTTCAAAATTTTCAAATGTGAAATATTCCCTTTGAACAATGTGTGTTTTAGTCGTCAAAAGTCGTCAGTCACATCTTGTCTTCTTGATGATGAGGGGATGCTGATCTGCTGCGCTCTTACCGTAACATTGTGACATTAGAAAGCGCCTTCTGGCTCGACAGCGTCGTGTCGGGTGTCTGGGGCTGTTTTATGCGCCGTTCCCCGCCCCGTTGCTGTCTGGAGGCCCGTGCTGCCGACCCGTCACCCCTCTGACGGCCGCGTCCTCCGCCGTCCCGTTCCTGTCTGGGGTCCGTGCTGCCGACCCGTCACCCCTCTGACGGCCGCGTCCTCCGCCGTCCCGTTCCTGTCTGGGGGTCCGTGCGGCCGGCCCGTCGCTCCTCTGACGGCCGCGTCCTCCGCCGTCCCGTCCCGTTCCTGTCTGGGGTCCGTGCTGCCCACCCTTTTCCCCTCTGACGACCGCGTCCCCCGCCGTCCCGTCCCGTTCCTGTCTGGGGTCCGTGCTGCCGACCCTTTGCCCCTCTGACGGCCGCGCCCACTGCCGTCCCGCCCTGTTGCTGTCTGGGGGTCCGTGTTGCCGACCCGCCGCCCCTCTGACGGCCGCATTCTCCGCCGCCAGGTCGCTGTTCGAGTTGGACATGCTGGCCTCCACGCCCGGGCGTGGCTTCTACCGGCTGGTGGTGTCGGCCCGTCCCAGCAAGCCCGACGCCCGGCTCATCGGCCACACGGGCGCCGAGCTGCGCGTCAAAGGTCAGCCACCGGCCACTGACTGGCCGGTCAGCGCTTCCCCGCCGGTCGCTGCGCCGCCGGCGTCCGTCGGCCGTCCCAGCCATGGCCGTCACTGACACACAGCACCAGCCGTGTGTCAGTGACCGGCCAACGTGCTGGAGACGTGCTGGGGGCGTGCGCAGACCACTCGTGTGCTTTGAACCGCGCGGCGCGAGTCTTGTTGACAGCTTAGTCCGTGCGCTGGCTGAGGGCGTGGCCTGTAGGGAGCGGCGCAGCTGCTGTCGAAGGCTCGGTCTGCATGGGCCCGTCGATGATGCTGGCTGTGTGGACCGCGTGTGTGTGACGCGCGTGCGCGGGTGTTCTGCTGACTGGCGGGGCTTCTGTCGACAGTGCTGACCCAGATGACCGTGGACGCTGTGGAGCTGGGAGTGGTGGACGCCGACCAGACCACCGCCCCGCGCACCAACAGGTGGGGTCGCCGGCCGCTGCGTTGCCCTATCCCGCGCACGCAGCCACCTTCCGCTGTTGCAGTGCTCGTCTTAGCTGCCCTGCTACGCTGCGCACCCCTGCTGTGGTCATCTTTGCCACTCTGCAAGGTGGCATCTCACACAGGGTCTGGAGTTTGTTATTTAGTGCTCAGGATCAACAAAACCTAGCTGGACGCAATTATTGTACCCTGCATTTACGATTCTAAACGATTCAACGCCTTGTTACAACGCGACGAGTTAGTTAGTTCTCCGCGAATCAGCGGTAGTGAATGCCGTGTGGGAGTTGCCGCCGCTGTTTGACCGTACCCCGGCTGCAGACGCCGACGGTCTGTTTGACCGTACCCCGGCTGTTGACGCCGACGGTGGGTCTGACCGTACCCCGGCTGTTGACGCCGACGGTGGGTCTGACCGTACCCCGGCTGTTGACGCCGACGGTGGGTCTGACCGTACCTCGGCTATTGACGCCGACGGTGGGTGTGACCGTACCTCGGCTATTGACGCCGACGGTGGGTCTGACCGTACCTCGGCTATTGACGCCGACGGTGGGTCTGACCGTACCTCGGCTGTTGACGCCGGCGGTGGGTCTGACCGTACCCCGGCTGTTGACGCCGACGGGGTGGGTCTGACCGTACCTCGGCTATTGACGCCGACGGTTGGGTGTGACCGTACCTCGGCTATTGACGCCGCCGGTGGGTCTGACCGTACCTCGGCTATTGACGCCGACGGTGGGGTCTGACCGTACCCCGGCTGTTGACGCCGGCGGTGGGTCTGACCGTACCCCGGCTGTTGACGCCGACGGTGGGTGTGACCGTACCCCGGCTGTTGACGCCGACGGTGGGTCTGACCGTGCCCCGGCTGTTGACGCCGACGGTGGGTCTGACCGTACCTCGGCTATTGACGCCGACGGTGGGTCTCTGACCCGTTACCCCGTGCTTGTTGACGCCGACGGTGGGTCTGACCGTACCCCGGCTGTTGACGCCGACGGTGGGTGTGACCGTACCCCGGCTATTGACGCCGACGGTGGGTGTGACCGTACCCCGGCTATTGACGCCGACGGTGGGTGTGACCGTACCCCGGCTGTTGACGCCGACGGTGGGTGTGACCGTACCCCGGCTATTGACGCCGACGGTGGGTCTGACCGTACCCCGGCTGTTGACGCCGACGGTGGGTCTGACCGTACCCCGGCTGTTGACGCCGACGGTGGGTGTGACCGTACCCCGGCTGTTGACGCCGACGGTCTGTTTGACCGCCGGGATGCCACTGCCGCGCCCTCAGGCTGGTGCAGCACAGTAAGCTGGGCTCCGTGCTAGAGGCGGACACCCACCAGAAGCTGCTGCTCAAGTTCACCATCCTCGACAAGCAGACCAAGAAGCCGATGCGCTGCCACCAGGCGTTCGTGCGGCTGGCGCACAAGGAGACGGGCGACGAGGTGGTGTTCGTGGCGGAGCCGGACGCGTCGCTCGTCTACAAGTTTGACATGGTGAGCAGGCTGGCGGTGGTGGCCGCGGCCCCGCCAGCCGGTGAGCGCCACACTCCCTGGTGTCGGTTGATGGCTTGGTGTTTCACGGCGGGCAACTTGTGCGGCTGGTGCTGCCCGGCAGTGCTGGTGCCTCTACTGAAATGAGTTACCATTATCTCGACCCGTTAAGGACGGCTGCAATGCGTCTGAGCATATTATGGTGTCACTTGGCGGTTTAATGTGCTTGAACATTGGGATATGAACCTGATGCGGTGAAAGATAGGATGTGGAATGGAAATGGGTGTTTGCAACTGCATATTTGAAATGGTAAACATTAACGTTTTGTATTTTTCCGTGAGCTTCTCTGCTGCAGGTCCCCAGCGCCGCTCAGTCGGCCGCCGTGAATACGGCTGTCGTACCCCGCGCCCTCGCCGCCGGGTGTTCACTGTGTTCGCGCGCGCCCCGTCAGGAGGTCGGCGCCCAAACCAAGAAGTTCGCGGCACGCTCTGGCGCGTACGAGATGCAGCTGATCGTGGGCGACCCGGTGGTCGACAACGCCTTCTCTTGGACTATGGCCGACGTGGTGCTGCAGTTCGCTGAGGCGGCCCGCGCCAGGCCAGCCGATCTCTACCAGCCTAAGCCGGCCATCCGCGTGAGTCGACCGCCACTCGGCTTCTCGGGGCGTCTGCCCCGCTGCTGGGGCTGGTGGAGCATGCTCGCCACCGATGACATGATCCTCTTACTGAGTTTCAATACCCATTTTCTGCGGTCTTCCGTGGTAGTTCACCCGTGCGGCTTTGTTTGGGGCATTAAGGCTGTTCCCGTCGTTGTGAAAGGGTTTTATTGCAGACCCATCTACCTCGCACATGAAATTTGTGTTGCAAATTTGATGAGCCTTATGGTAGTCCGACAGCGCGCGGATTGTATCGGATTTGGGGCGGTGAAATGAATCGCTCGCTGCCGTTCACATCTCTTGTGCGCCGGCGGCAGCACGAGTTCCGCGCCCCCGAGCCGCGCCCGTCGGCCGTCATCTCCACCGTGTTCACGGCGCTGGTGGCGGTGCCGCTGCTGGTCATGCTGCTGCTCTGGGCCCGGATCGGCATCAACGTCAGCCACTTCCCCATCTCGCTCTCGGCCGTCGGCTTCCTGGCCGGCATCGGAGGTACGCGCCGCCGCCTGCCGTCCCGGCCGGGGCTCGCTCTTCCGCGCGCCTGCACAGCACGGCAGAGCGGGCACTGAACGGGCCTCCCGCCGCACGTCTGTGCGAGGAAGGCGTGGCGTCCCTCAGAGACGCTCACCACCAGCCGCCTGCTGGCTGGTGCTGGACGCCGTCACATCTCTGTCCCGGTTGGGGTTTCGGGCGTAGGCGGGGAGGTGTGCGTGCGTGCGTGCGTGCGTGCGTGCACCGCGGCGGAACACGTGGCCTCGGACGGCGCGGCGCTGGCCTTTGTTTTGTCGAGGTCAGGGTTCAGCCGCCACTCGCCCACGACGGTGGTGAGCGGCGGCGGTGGTGGCGGTGGCGAGTGGTGGACCCCGCCGAGTATACTGACTGACATTCTGATCTGGGCTTTGCCGTGGGTGTCTCTATGGAAAAACCGGTGACTGACCAGGGCAATATCCATTGAGCAGTGCCTGTACGTCTACAGTCCACAGTCGTGACGGCAGTCGATCGTCGCCACAAACCGCAGCTCTTGACGCGAGCGGGCGCTCACAAAATGTCCTTAAAAAAATGTCAAAATGTCCTTTGTTGCGTGGTGTCAAGGCTTGGAATAGCGGCTAGGTCGTCTTTGCGATGCCTCACCCGTATGGCCGGTGTTTGGGGCTGTGTGATCACAGTATGCGGCACGCGACAATGCTATACGTTTTCTGGCGGTGACCTGGTGCGCGCACAGGACAGCAGGCAAGCATGTTTACATTGCTAGGCGTGTGTGTCCCTGGTGCCGGCCATGGACGTATGACGTAGGCACGTCGTAGCGCCCTGGTCTTTATCATCTCTACATCTACGAGTTGTAACGTGCACTGACTATATTTGTTTGTGTTTCTTGTAGTAGGCATTTGTTTGGGGACGTCGAGTCACACTGCCTGCGATTCCGAGGCTGTGCTGGTGTTCGGGACGTCCGTTCTCTGCGTGACGTTTTACGTTGACTTCAGGCATCTTCGCCCTCTACTACTGCTTCTGGCTGCAGCTGAACATGTTCGCCACCGTCAAGTATCTGTTCGGCCTGGGCGTGGTGACCTTCCTTTGCGGCCACGACGCGCTCGCTCGCCTGGCTGCTCAGCGCAAACAGTACGTGTCGCGGGGAGGGGGGGGGGGGGGGGGAGGCAGGCCGGGGGACCAGGGCGCCCGGCTTAGCCAGGACGACACGGGTTCGGTCTGGCTGGCGCGCCAGGCTGGGACACGTCGCTGCGGACCCCGAGCTCGGCTGACGGCGGGCGGGTCAAGTGTTCAGTCACTTGTCGGCCGTGCTGTTGCTGGGCACGCGGACCGGCCGGCCGCCCCGGCTCCGTGCGTCCCTCTCACGGCCCTGTTCCGTTGCAGGAAGGTGTAAGGCGCGCATGCTGCACGGATCACCGGCTGCAGTCGGCCCCCGCGGCGGCGGCGGCGGCCGCGCCGTCGCCGCCGCCGCCGCGTCCCAGTCAGCACGCCCGACATTCCAGTCGACACGTCCGCCGTACTTGTGGATGCGTTTGTTTATGTTTTGGTTTCCTGTGGGGTTTGTCTGTCTGAGGCCTGTTTGTGTGTGTGTGTGTGTGTGCGCGTGCGCGGGGTCCGGTGAGCGCTGGGGTGGTCAGGTGAGGCGGGGTCTCGTCACCGGGCCTCTCGCCCTGGCCGAGCGGCCGCAGAGTCGGCCAGTCAGTCGGTGTGTGTCTGGGGTTCAGCCTGCTGTCGAAGACAGAACCTGCCTTACTTAGCCCGTTGTCCGCGCCTGCGCGCGCGGCCCGGGCGCCAACCAGTGACGCATCGGCAGGCGACAGGCCCGGCGACCCGGCGCGCTCTGTGTCCGGCCTCCTATCCGGCTTGGTTGCAGGCATGTGCTTTCTGCGTTGTGATCGGTTGCTGGACTAGCAGGCCGTGACTCACTGCTGCTGTTTGGCCTAGCTCTAGAGTCGCACTCCTGGTCACATTCTTTGCTGTCACGTGGCCCGTGTCACAGGATACCGGCATAGGGACGTCCCGCCTTCCCTGGACACGAAACTAAAAGCGTCCAGCTCCCGCCGCTGGGAGCTCTAAAAACGAGCATCCAGAAGTGAGCTGTGTTGGTCTGGATCTGTCGTTCCGCACCTCCTGCCGCTGCGGGCCCGCATGTGTAGGCACGTATATGGCCTGCCCGGAGAAGGGGACGACAGTCGGGTCAGCGTGGCAGACTAATGCCCCCCCCCCCCCCCTCCCCGCTCGGTCACGGTGACAGGCGCCAAGCGGCAACAGCTCCCAGAGCGGGCGGCCGGAGCCCCGGTCCGCCGCCGCCGGCCGCCGCCCGGTGATGCGGCATGGCCTGTCGCGTCGGCCGGCTGGCGCACCATGCTGCCGGCGCTGCTCTCAGCTTTGTAAAGGAATGCTGCACCTGTGATCGGGGTCTCACGTGTGGCGTGCCCGGCGTCGCGCCAAAATGGTTTCGGCTGCAATGCAATAAACACGAAAAGTAGCCCAATCTGTCATATTATGTGAAAGCGAATGCAACATGCGTATAACTCAGTGTGGAGTGTGTGAGCCTCGCGTCTCCCGTACATTTACTACAAGCATTCGATAGCCAGACAATGCGATTAGCATTTCACGTCCGGTGCGTTGAAACCCGCCCGCGGCCAAACAACGAAATTATAGAGGCCAACGACGTCTGCAACTCACACGGCGTAAATCAACGGCGACAACCCAGGCTCGAGGCGTTCAACGGCCTGACCCTAACCTATTGCACGCTACTACCGCCCTCTAGGCGGAATGGGACTAAAGCCTCCTGCCGAGAGGTCGGACCACACGTGTCCTCCAACAGTGAGTAAACAACAGCGGTACACCAGTCCAACGCCGCGGGCACCAGCTCGCGCCCCGTCGACGCCGTCCACAGCAAACGGAAACGGGCGGGACTGCCCGACCTGACAGAGCGTGTCGCGATCGCGACCTCGCATCGAACGTGGTGACCCCGTCTGCACGACACCGGTTCATCCACGCTCGCCGCAGCGGTCGGTAAATGGTCACGACTCTTGATGGCGAAGTTCTGGAGCGCGCTGGGGCTGGCTGATGGGGGTGGACTTCATGTGGTCCACAAGCCTGGGCAGCCGCGGTCCGGCGACCCGGTAAATGGCGTACAACACCCGCACGCGGACACCGAGAGGAATAAGACCAAGGCCGGCGTGACCCCAGCTGTAAAGGGCTGAGCTGTGGAGAGGCTGTGCGGATGCCGACATGAACGCCACACGTCGGGCCACCAACAAGCGGCGTCAGGCCCGCAGAGAAGTGATCCCGTGATTCCCGCGCCGCGCATGATTCCCTGTAGTCCTCGCATCGGTGCATGGCCGCGCACGACTCCCAATGCTCAGTCACTGGTGGGCAGACCCTAATTGGACCTTGGCGGTCGGCACAAACGGCGCACCACCTACGACACGCGTGCACCACTGAGGCCGCACCCTGAGTGTTCCTGCGAACCAGCCAGCCCCACACCCGACGACAGAGTGGCGAGCGAACCCGCCCCTACACCCGACCGCAAAGTGACGGACGAACCCGCCCCTACACCCGACGGCAAAGTGACGGACGAACACGCCCCTTCACCCGACGGCACTGGCGGCGAAGTCACCGCGGCATTCCACTATAAGACAACCACATCTTCGAACCGTATGTGAATCGGCCGATAGCGTGATCACAGGCGCGGAAGCCAGCTGTGACAGCGAAAAAAAACATCCGGGGCACGGTTCAGAGAAAATTGCCTCGGACGATTTGCACAGGTCATATTCAAAGGACTTTTTTGGCAGTCTGTCATTCATAAACTATCAGTCTGATAATGCTAAACCTCACATCATTGAAATTGCAGTAAAAAAGGAACATGCTAGCTATCTTAGAATTTTACGTTCCAAGTTTGACCACTTGACCTTACGACTTCATTTGTATACAGTGAAGTTGACCCGTTGGCAAGTAAATGTTTTTTGTTTTCTTTGTCTAAGGCGACTAAGGTTTTACCAACGCCCTTTCAAATAAAAAGGTAGCTTTCGTCCGGCAAACCTTACGCTGAGTTTCACAAAATTGACTGTATGCGACCCCAGTAACACCAGTGACATATCTCAGAACTGAAGTACAATAAAGAGACACGGTCGACGAAATTCAACGGGTCTACACAAAGGGGATGTCAATTTATTGAAGGTCACGAGACTTGAAGTCAGGGTCAAAGCTACATTTAGCAAATATTTTCAACGGGAAGGTTTTGCGAGGAACACCTGCACTAGCTGATTAAAATGCCGACAAGACTGTTGACTTTATCCCTCTCAGCTCTGCGTTATCCTCTGCTCTGCACGCATACACGTATATTGTTGTGTGCCAGGATTTGATCACGGCCGTGCGCGGCCGCAGGGACAGAGAGTGGACCGAGGTGTGGCGCGGGGGGGGGGCGGTGTTGCGCACGCTCGACTGTTATGCGCGGCCGCAGGGACAGCGGGCGGACCTGGGCGTGGCGCGGGGAGGAAGGTGTTGCGCACGCCCGACTGCTCTGTGGATAGTGCAGAAGTACAGTCGGCATGGACAACATAGTTTCCAGCAATAGCATGGAAAACAGCGGCTACATATACATGTATTGTCTAGGTTTGTGTGTGATGTTCGAGTTCATATAAACGTCTTTCATGTTGATTTTATCCGCGTATGTTACGGTTTTTGCTGTTAGGCTCATGTGTCGAGGCGGGAAGTTTAATAGGTCATAAAAAGTAACTTAGAAGATTACACGATGTCGTACCGTTATTGTAGTGACCCGTACATGCTACATAAAAACCATATCGTCCAACAAATGAGAGTGATATCGAGAGACTTAGTCAGGCATGCGATCGGCCGGTCCACAGCTTGACATCAGCTATATCTTTTGCAATCACTACCGAATGAACTGGTCAAGGATCCAAGCAGCCAGCCACCGGAGAAAAGCTGCACAAACACAAATTAGGTTGACCCGAGCCCCGGAAAACGTAGGGTTTACATATGAAGCGACCGATTTATGCCTGCTGGACGCAGGGACGGCCGCGAAGGTGCGCAGCGAGTCTCGTCTATTTTTCTTTGTATCCGCGATAGAACAGATACAGGGATAATGATGAATACACTCATCAGATCCGTTGTCGCATAAAGTTTATCAAATTCAACCTATCAGATTCAACTAGGGTAAAAACAAATGTGGCAAGGAAAAAGATATTGCAAAATGGATCGTAAAAGGGACGCCGAGACACCACCTTCCGCCCCGTGGACCGACCACAATCAAAGTGCGACAACTGTCGAAAAATTGCGAAAGCCGGGGGCCAAAGTGGTCAAAAATCACGGTCACCGGTGATACTATTAGAAGCTGCGCTGGTGAGACGACTACGTGAATCAGCTTGAGGTCAATTGGGGTCAATCAGCAAGTTGCTGGTAAATTTGCATCCAAGTGGCATTGCTCTGTTGCGTAAGCGCGGCGGAAGATTGTACAGGATCAGTGTGGTCTGCATATGTTGTTGAGAATGAGGTCCGGTGTCTACATGTGCACAGTCGTGATGCTTCCGGGATGCCTTTCGTTCTGTCTGTGACCTTTTGGCGTTGAACAGCTGAAAGATAAAATCTGAAGCACATTATGTCTACGACATGCTTAAAAAATACTGATGAGGACCGTGGCCCAAGAGAAGTCGATGTGTTTGTGGTCATGAAGTTAATATCTTTCCCAATAACAGTCCAAAAATCCAAATCCCAAAACCAAATAACAAATAACATAAACAATCCAAATAACCTGACCTTGGGCCCTCTAACTTGGACTTGACCTGGAACCCCAAGTCTTGATTGCCTTAAAGGGCCTCAGCCTGACCTTGTCGTCTCTACCCTGGACTTGAACCGACACAAACAGTCCAAAATCACCTAAAATTACACCTAGAATGTCTACTCATTATCTGACGCAGATATCTCGATCTCGCCATTCCGTTCAGAGGCATGCCATCAGGTGTCCGAAGCGTCGCTTACAGCCAATACAAAAACCTAACTTTCGCATGCGAACAAAATAAAGTCACTTTTTTAAAAATGTTCCGACTCGAGTGATCAAATTTGAAATCGCGAAATTCCGAGCGCTAAGTTTCATGCATCCTTGCAATTACAGTGCTATCGGGGGTTCAACATCATCAAACTGATAGTTTATGAATGACAGACGACCAAAAAGTATTCTCAATTTGGCTTTTGCAACTTGCCCGAAGCTTTATCTCGGAAACCGTTCCTTAGATTTTTTGGCGTCGTCACAGTTGGCTTTCGGACCTACGTCAACCCGACAGACCAATCTGTATGCGATTACAAAATGTGAGTTTTATCTTCCGAAATTTTCGGTTGTCTTATGATAGAATGCCCCTTCCCCTACACTCAGGGGTCGAGTGACGGACAGTCAGCCCGCCCCTACACCTGCTTGTAGAGCGAGGGCGTGCGCAGGATAGCGGCCGGCAGGTGGTTGTCGGTGCGCGAGCCGAGCCGGCCGAGCAAGGTCGGCTCGGCGCGCCGGCCGGCCGTCACCTCCTGACACGCCACCAGCAGGTCGAACGCCGTGCTCTCGGGCACGACAGAGTCGCGGGCGTAGTCGGCGTGGCCGGCCACGAAGCGGCGGATCCAGCTGGCGGTGGTCTGCAGCTCGCCCGAGGCGCGCCGCCGGATCAGCTGCAGGTACTGGCCCATGGTGCAGCGCGTGTCCGCGTCAATGTTGACCGCGTTCAGGTAGTGCGTCACCAGCGGCACCAGGCCAGGGAACTCGTCGCCCTTGCCGTTGAAGATTTCGTTGACGGTCAGCTCGCTGTACTCGGTCTCGGCGTCGACACACGGCGACCCGTCGCACAGGAAATCGGAGCGGAACCAGAACTTCTCGGTCAGCACGGCGTCCTTCTTGTGCGCGCGCCTCATGTTCTCATCCACCTTACTGATGGGGATCAGAAAGTTGAGCTTGTACGAGAGGATGACGCGCGTGAGCAGCACGACGAAGCAAACGATGGCGGCGTTCTCGAAGTCAGTGAGCTGCACCTCGCACGGCCGGAACTCAACGCGCCAGCCGATGTTGCTGCCGGCCGGTGGAGGCTTGAAGCGCATGGTCTGCCAGTTGGTCGACTGGATGTTCTCGAAGTGGTCCATGTCGACGGCGTCGTCCTGCTGCACCTTCTCGGAGAAGAGCGAGATGGGCTCGCGGATGAAGAGGTGCGCCACGTGGCCGGCCAGCAGGTCGTCGATGCCACTCTCGGCCAGCCGGCCGAACAGAGCCGGGTCCATCACCAGCTCGACGTCATTGTACGGCCGGCCGCACTCCGAGATGTACGAGTCGGTCGAGCCGTAGCGCGACTTGGGGATGACGAAGCGGTCCTGGCGCAACGGCGTCAGGCCGCGCTCCTCGTCCGTGCGGCAGTCGCACGACATGGCGATCACGTCCCAGCGGCAGTCCGTGGCCAACAGCATGCCGCGGTGAATTGGCGACGCCGCCGTCAGCGCAAGAAGGATTGGGCACAGCGGGTTCAGCTGGTCGTACAGCCGGCGAGCCTCCAACAAGTTCTCCGCCTGGAAGGTGATCTGCAGGCAGCAGCAGCCCATGCCGAACGCCATGGCGTCCATGTAGACGTGGTCGGGCAGGGCGGCCGCCTGCGAACTGCCGTCATCGCCCAGCCGCGCCAAGTCCTCGACGAACGGCCGCGGCGTGCGCTCATCCACCAGCACCGGCATGTTGATGGCCACCTTCTTGCCGCGCCGCTCGCGGATGTTGCGCGTGAGCGTGGCGAAGCGCGGGTGCGCCGGGAAAATCACCTCTTCGGGAATGAACAGCGAGCGCGACGAGCCGCTGCCGGGCGTCGGGCGACACGGCGGCTCGGTGAACGTGCCGCAGCCCAGCCTGAAGAGACACGACAGCAGCACCAGTCAGCGGCCACCGAAGCCGCGGCAGTCGAAGCCAGCCTGCACCGCGATCATGGCGCAGGGACCTGGCACACAAGGTACTCACACCATAGGAGCCGGGGCACACAGTACTTAGGAGCCGGACACACGGCAATCACACCACAGGAGCCAGGCACAAGGTACTCACATCACAGGAGCCGGCCACACGGTACTCACAACACAGGAGCCGGGGCACACGGTACTTAGGAGCCGGACACACGGCAATCACACCACAGGAGCCGGGCACAAGGTACTCACACCTATAGGAGCCAGGGCACACAGTGCTCATACCACAGGAACCGGGCACAAGGTACTCACACCATGGGAGCCGGGCACACAGTGCTCATACCACAGGAGCCGGGGCACACAGTGCTCATACCATAGGAGCCGGGGCACACAGTGCTCATACCACAGGAGCCGGGCACAAGGTACTCACACCATAGGAGCCGGGGTACACGGTACTCACACTGCAAAGGCCGGGAAACACAGTGCTAATACCATAGGAGCCGGGGCACACAGTGCTCATGCTACAGGAGCCGGGCACAAGGTACTCACACCATGGGAGCCGGGGCACACGGTACTCACACCGCAAAAGCCGGGCACACAGTGCTCATATCATAGGAGCCAGGGCACACGGTACTCACACCGTAGCAACCGGGCACACGGTACTTAGGAGCCGGACACACGGCACTCACACCACAGCAGCCGGGCACACGGTACTCACATCACAGGAGCCGGCCACACGGCACTCACACCACAGCAGCCGGGCACACGGTACTCACATCACAGGAGCCGGCCACACGGTACTCACACCACAGGAGCCGGGCACACGGTACTCACATCACAGGAGCCGGCCACACGGTCCTCACAACACAGGAGCCGGGGCACACGGTACTCACGCCACAGGAGCTGGGCACACGGTACTCACAACACAGGAGTCGGGGCACACGGTACTCACAACACAGGAGCCGGGGCACACGGTACTCACATCGCAAGAGTCGGGGCACACGGTACTCACACCACAGGAGTCGGGGCACACGGTACTCACATCACAGGAGCCGGGGCACAAGGTACTCACGCCACAGGAGCCGGGCACACGGTACTCACAACACAGGAGCCGGGCACACGGTACTCACTGTACAGAATGAGCCGTTGGCCGTTGTGCACAAACTGCACAGTCATGATCCACGCCAAGCAAGAAGCAGCCGATACGCAGGCGTCGCAGTAACTTCCATCGCCAAACGAATCGCCTCAAACGATTGCTTAATACCATCCACCAACGGCACCCCATCCGTCCTCACCCACACTACGATCGCAAACGCTTTTGATCGGGTCCGGCTTCATCTGTGCTCTCATTACGCAATATTAAATACGCCACATCCGCGCCAACCCTGTATACAATGGCGTCTCCTCGTGCCGGAGCCGGGCCGGAGACGTCCCCGGGAGCCTTCCCCGGGACCCCTCACAGGCAGCCACGCCATGGCCGGGAATTTTGCGCCTTTCTCGGCGTTGCCTAGGAGACGTTTCCGCTGTCCAGGCTCTCCGGCGCATGCTTGGCTATTGCATGGCGTGGGGCGGCGTCAATGCTTGCGTCGTCAATGGATTGCCTATCTGTTGCCAAAAAATGCGCACGAAAGCGGAAAGGGGAAATCATGCTGCTCGTCACCCTAGATTTCGCCGACACATCTGAAACCTAATATGACAGAAAAGGCCGAAGCGCGAAACCCATGTTGATGGGTAGTTCCCTGACGCATGGGGCGCTGGAGACGTAGGATTACAGACGGCGAAGTGTAGGACGAGAGGGCGCACTGGAATCACTTCCGGTATGCTACGATCGATGTTTTGTGCATTCGTATACATGCTTACAATTTCGTGGCACATTTCACAAATAACTATCAGGTATTTCTGGCACTGGACAGTACTCGATGCCAAGCCACAACCAGGTAATCTAACAGCAGCTTAACAGCACCCAGAGTGTTCTTGAGATAATCGTATGGGGATGAAGGCCCGCAGCTTTTAGGTTTGTGAAAAATGTATTAAATGCAAGGTTTACTCGAATGAGTTGAGTGAAGACATTTCCCGGAAATCATGAGCACAACAAAACTTAGTAAAAAAAAAACATGAGACGGCAATGCCAACAGCCCACAGGCTTCTTCTTCTTCTTCTCACAGACTCGACTTCTTACTCGACCTCGTATACGCAAGCGGATAAAAACGTCACCCCGGCTTGGTCGGAGAAAAAGTTTTCCAGACCTGAATGCCCAAATCAAAATTCCCACCCCACGTGACACGCGGTGCTCATATCCCAGGAGCCGGACCACACGGCACCCACACCATACGGCCGGCGCACAGGCCACTGGCGCCAGGGGACCCGAGACACCCGGCCTTCCAATCACGCACTCATATCCCAGGAGCCGGACCACACGGCACCCACGCCATACGGCCGGCGCACAGGCCACTGGCGCCAGGGGACCCGAGACGCCCGGCTTTCCAATCACGCACAGCGGGATTTGGGCCTTGGCACGGCGGCCAGCTCTCAATGCATCGTAGTCACCAGCGTAAGGGACAGCGACGACGGCCTCCGGAGATGCTGCATCGATGGGCGTGTTTAAGGGTGCCGTTACGTCCAGCGCCTGTCTGGGTATCGCACTCACGACTGGCGCAGGAGGTGCAGGTGCAGGTGCAGCACACCCGGGTTGTCACATTGACAGCAGAAAGTAACACAAACGGGCGTAGCATAAAGCCCCCATCCGGGATCATACTACCCTCAAAGGTCGCGTATCACGTGGCTGCTTTACCCCTGCAGCGGCTGCCAGAAGCGATTGTGTGCGATTCCACAGTGCCTTCCGTAAAAATGGGCCCAATAGTGAACACTGCACTCACTGAACATTGGATATCTGTTATAGATTTGCACTGCCATATTTACACTATTAAATAGATTTACACTCTGACGGATACCCGCATCACAGACATTCCCCGCCGTTAGCTGATCAGCGGCGCAATCCTCCCTGAACACAAACGGTTGCGCATGTCTTCCGAATCGCCTTCAATTACGTGAGTCAGGCACACGATATGATGCTACAGCTGCGACGCGTTACCCCGCGGCTCATCGACCCCGCTCCATCGGCCCAATAATACACCCTCAACAGGCTGGCACCAGTCAGCAGGCGGTGCTGGCCCGCACGCCACCCTTGCCACATGGTTTAATCAAAACAATCAAAGCGTCCGGTATCTTGGCCCATGAGACGAGCAGGGTTCCGGGTCAAGGCTGCGCACAGGCCGTAAAGCTGCCAACCTGCTCAACGCACTTCCGCAGGACGTGCTGTCGCCAACTGCCTTTTTCACAAGTGTGCATCTTACTCTGGACAGCTCACCTGTTTTACGTCACCTCTCAAATGGGCACAGATCTTTCATATAGTAGTGCAAGCCATGCTCCGCTTAGTACGTCTGAATGCAGCACGTTACCGATTACATGCGCGCATCGTGCGCAATCTGAAAGCTTCGCTCCACTTCCACGCCAACGCGTGCGCCACCTGACGTAACAATTTCCTATCCTCCCAGCCTACGTGAATAAAAAATGCATACAAGCCCGGGGACCTGGGGGATCTGACCAATAGCCACTCGTGGCCGGTGGTCACAAACCGACCTGGGGAAGCTGGTGATGCTGAGTAGTATCTCATCAGGCTGCAGAAGCGCCTCCACTTCCTGACGGCGCGCGCGCATGTTGGACTCCACCGTGTTGAAGAAGGAGATAAGGCTGCCATAGGGCTGGCCGGGCGTGCCCTCCACCATGTAGGCGCCATACTCGGGCCGCCAGAGCGAAGGCGCCGCGCTGCGGGCCACCACCGGCCGGCGTCAGCGTCGCACCGCTGCCCGCCGACACCGGGCACACCGCCACCGCCACCGCGCGCCACGACCAGGTGTCGACAATAGCGCGCGCCAATGCTGAGGTCTGCTAATACCGTGTGTCCGCGCGGCGGCTCATGGAAACGCCTTAAATGCATAACAACGGGCTGACTATACAACACTGCCTACTGCCTTGAACGTACCACGTTTCCAATTTCCAGCCGGTCTCTGTTCGAGTCCACATGCACTTGTGGCGCGGCCGGTGCCAATGAGCTTACTCTGGGTGGCGCCGCTCGGTAGCCTGCAGCTGGTCCAGCAGCTCGGCCGAGCGCAGTGCCAGCCGCGCCGTCCTCGCCCGCCGGTCCAGCCGGACCACCATGTACTCCACCTGCACGGCCACCGGGCTCCGTTACACGCGAGATACCGCAGCAACACAGACTACGGCGAACCTTAACTGAAAATGGCGCGTGACGACCGTCACGCACATTCCACCAAACTAGGCATGTCGCAGCTCGCCGGAAATGAGGCACACCCGGCTACAGTACGATGTGCACTTTGGGTACGCCATCGCTAAAGCGGATTGCTGCCGCCTTCACGGCATGCCGCACGGCCGGCTGGCCTCGGCGGCGCGGCGGCGCCCCAGTGTCAGGTGTCTGTGGTGGCGCTGTGGCACGCGCGCGCGCGCGCCGGTGCGTGCCTGCTCTGCGTCGGCTGGTGTGGGCGCCGGCACGTCACCTCGTCGCCCCACTTGAGGCTGTCGCCGCGCCGCTCCTTCAGCCGGTTGAACTGGCTGATGAACTGCTCGATGCCGTGGCGCTGCACGTGCGCCGCCAGCGCCTTGGTCTCCGGCCAGGAGAGCGGCGAGCCTTCCGAGAGAAGTCCCATCTCGAGCGACGGCCGACGCCAGCCGGCAGACTGTCCACCGCCGCACACCGGCACACCTGGCGAAACGGAGGGCACCAGCTAGGACACGGCACACTGGCGAACGGCAATACCAGAGCTCCAGACAGTGCGCCCGTTATCTAGCGCAGGCAAATGCTACGATCGACTCAAGCACCCACCCCTTGCCCAGTCACAGTGACTTGGATGTTATCTGTGCAGAAACACATATTAGGATGACTGGCAGAAAAAGTGCACGTCATCCCAGTACCTAATCGCGATCACGCGAACTGCCAAGTCACGATGGTACACAATTGTTTTGAGGTGTGGTTAAGCATTGGTGCCACGACACGGGTGGGAGGTGGGGGGGGGGGGGGGGGGGGGGAGAGAGACCGGACTGACTCAGAAGTGAAGCCTCCTATTCAGTGAGGGGTTCAGCCTTCACTTTGAGACACCAGTGGATCAAATCAAGGACAAACTATCTTTAGTTGTTTACAAGGGGTTCACGTAACTTTTCATTGCTCAGCCCTGAGACTCATTCTACTTGATTTTAAGGAACAAAAAAAGAACACTGAAGATTTATCACATTGCATAATGGGGAGTACCTCTTAACTATGTTTGTTCAAAAAGTTACCTACAGATCTTCAATTTCGTTTTTGAAATGTGTTTCTCACATTAAGTTCAGTGCTTTATCATGAAGAAGTTTCACCTTAGATACCTTAAAGTGTCTTATGCATGAAAACAATCTCCATAGTATTACACAAAACTTCAGCTTTTTGGCTCTACTTCGATCACGAGTTGACTGATTAAAAAATTTCTACCATAAAATGATGAAAGCCTCACCTGGACATTTCACAATGCATAATTTGTACTGTGAGCAAGTGGAGCAAGCAGTATTATCACGGTATGAACTTAACTTAACACGCGCTCGGGTGGGGGGATGAAATTGACTCCCCCCCCCCCCAAAGGTTTTCCAGAATGGTTTCCGAACGGCGCTGTATAGCCGCGCCAAATTTTGCACGGCTGTAGACAATTGAATAGTGGATCGTTTGGCGTCAAACATTTGGATGTAGCTTGTAAGGTCGCTGACCTATGGCAGGTCAAAGTCGGGCCATGGTTTCAGCGAAGGCAATTTCTAGGGACTCCTTCAATTTGATCCAACAATGGAGAGTTAGATGAAGCCACACCTCTCTGAGATGCTTTCTTAGGCAACACAACAGTTGGATGAGCAAATTGTATTCATCTAAGGTCATGTATGAAGGTCACACCAAGGTCAAAACCAACCTGTCTTGTTACTCTTGGGCTTGCTGCGTGGGATAGTTTATGGTGCTCATTTCCTGTTTACTGAAAACAGGGACCACATTATACATCTTCCATGGACTTCTCAAAGGCCAGAATAGGTCACTGGCCCAAAATGATGTCAGCTAACATTTTGTTTCAGGAACATACTGCCTAGTGTAATCTGTGTTGCTTAGTCAAATGCTAAACCCAAAGCAACCTTGTATGATTTTGGTCACCTTGACCCTCAAAAGGTCAAAAAGGTTACTGACCTTGAATGAGAATTTGACATTTTGCTTAGAAACAGTTATCTAGTTTCTGGGGGCACTTTATAAACAAACCTGGAACTTGAACCTGTTTGACCTTTTTTGACCCAAAGGTCATGACCTAAGAAACTGAAACTTTTACCTAAGTAAGTTCACATACAGGGCAACACACCCTGTAAATTTCGTGTCTCTAGCTTTCTTGGTTCTCGAGATCTCAGGGGGTCAAATTGACCCCCACACCGGTGCAAAGGGTATCTGGCCGGCCACCTGTACGAGTGTTAAGGCACCAAACTGCATTCAGGCATGCAGGTTATATAGGCATGAACATGTATATGACTCTCCAAAGGCTTGTCATTTTTGCTTCCCAAATTTATTTGGGCATGACCTAGACTAGATTTTTGAGCAGTTACAGAATTTACCTGGAGTTACTCAACATACCCAAACCACATTTTCATAACCTAACAGCAATATCACCTACATAAAATTGGTTCTTCTTTCCCAAAATAACTTTTAAAAATGATCCATTCAATAAGTTTTCAGTTCAGCCAAAACAAGTTTCATCATTGTATCCAGTGTGCTTGGAATTAGGACTCATGAAAATGTTATGTCCCTCAGTCAACCTTAGGCTAGGTTAAGTCACGATGAGTTAGCTCATAATCAATAAGGTTTGTTGCACACCAAAAAGTTTGTGTAGCTTATTCATGTGGCATCTATCCTATTAATATTACAATGACTTACGACACATGTGGTTAACCATCCATTCACATGATTATTATCGTTAGTGTTTGTTTGTGGAATAGTACACACAGTGCGGGATGTGAATGGTTTTCTAAATGTAGTACTCCTTTTATAAGGCAGCATGCAATATCAAAGAGAAACCACCACCATGTCAATGTGCGGGCATGGTGAACATATCCCTTTCACTGCAAAAGCCATGAAGTTCACTTCCCTTGATAATGACCAAAGGTGTATCACTATCTGAGTTATGACTACAAATTTTCAAGGCGAGCAGGCTTTTTCTTGGGTTTACTGACCTTGAATCCTGAGGCAAAACTTGCGATGCAGGACTTATGATACATGATATAAATCATGACACACGATTCATAGCACAATTTTTATTTTCAAACCACCATATAATCACACTAGGCAGTGGTGAGTTGGTAAGCCAATGCTGCCTCCTAGTCCAAAACAGCCAACCTTATATTTTAGCACTCTCTCTTTCATTTATGTCATCCTACGCTCGTATAATTGATCATGTTCATAGCGAGTGACGCAAGCCACATGCACGCACTGACGGTGTACATCTACAACACAACTTACTGACGCAACGACCACGATGTCACGTGGATGTGTTGACTGGTCCAAAACAAACACAAATGACTAAAACAACAGCACAATCAGCCCTCACCTCCTGCACCACGCCCAGTTATGCAGCCCTGTGCCACAGCAACGCCGGCACTGTAGCTCCGCAACGCGCGTGACACTCTCCGCGATTGCTCTGCTCCGGAATGAGCGAGACAGAGCGGAGGAAATTTTCTGCGCTTCTTCTCCAAGTTTTTGATCGAAGTAAGAACACACGGCATCTTGGTAGCAAACCATAGTGAATTTAAGTGGTGGATGTTTGCTTATATTCGCTTGTTCAAGCAGTTATCTCCCAGTGCTGTTGCTGCTGGAACAGAACTGGCCTGTTTAAATGTAAATGGCGCGGGGCTGACAAAATATGCCGGGTTTGCATGTCCAACCAATGCCTCGTGTATTTTCAGCGGTATGCATCACATTGGGTTCTAGCAGGTTTGACTGAGGCCCCATTAGTTCAAGGCTCAAGGTTAGGGTTCAACGAATTATTCTCCTCCCATCCCATATGGGCTATACCTCCTCTCAGCACGAGTGAGGTGGATCGTTACTAGCCGGTCTGACTTAGACGTAAGTGGAAATGCAGTCGAGTCAAGGTCGTTTTGGGGATTTCCTCCTTTAATCGGGATATGTTGGTTGGCCAGGCTGCAAAAATAGAAATAGTATGCTGAACACTTCCAACATAGAACATAGAGCTTTCAGCACTGCAAATGTGAGTGCCCGAAGTTTGGCGCACATTCATTGCCCATTTCAGTGTATGGAGTCAATGTTTCAGGGAATTATGCACTATTGATTGGCTGGAGTGCTGTGTTTTTTTCACTTATTTGTGATGCCAACCAAACCATGTCAGGTGAACAGTGTCAATGTTTTTGTCAATGAATGCTTCCTTTTGGTTTTTATTACAATATTCAGAGTCCATATTCTGTACATAAACACTTGGTGGGAAATTGCTTCACAACCTGTTTGACATCATGTAGTAGCCATTGGCTGTTGTTGATTTTTTGAACTGGCATCAGTCTAATGAGATGTGGCAGAAGTTAAGTGGCAAACCTACTTGGCTGTGACAGCAATGTTGCATTGAGGTTGAATATGAGGACTTGAAATACCAATGAAAACTATTTAATACACAAGTTAAGGCTAAAGTAGTGTGAATATTCAGAGTCCATATTCTGTATATAAACACTTGGTGGGAAATTGCTTCACAGCCTGTTTGACATCATGTAGTAGCCATTAGCTGTTGATGATTTTTTGAACTGGCATCAACCTAATGAGATGTGGCAGAAGTTAAGTGGCAAGCCTACTTGGCTGTGATGGCAATGTTGCATTGAGGTTGAATATGAGGACTTGAAATACCAATCAAAGCTATTTAATACACAAGTTAAGGCTAAAGTAGTGTGAATTTTTGCAAGCAGCCTTAAGTATTCTGCCATAAAAGCTGATAACATCTCCCCTCAGCCAACTTCTTTTGTGCCCAGGTGTGACTGACAGAGATGGCTTGGCCAGTTCGGCTGTCCAGCCTGCTCATGCCAGCTGCTCGTCTCCGCACCATCTGTCATCAGTCATGGCTGAGTGTGGCTGGCAGACACTTCTTTGCTGGTGATGAACCCACAGCAGTGCTGGACTGGGACTACCTGCTGGATCCTGCCAATGCCGACCAAATCGACGCTGATGTGCAGCGCCGCAAGGGCGTCGGCAACGTTTGGCTAGTGCAGGAGTTACACGCGCAGTACAGCGCAGCAGCAGCCGCCGAACGTCTGCCCGTGCTGCGCCGGCTGGTGGCCGAGGCGCTGCGACTGCCGAACCGCACCCGGCCGTCGCCCGATTCGGACGAGATGGAGGTGGCGCGCAAGGTCGGCCAGAAGCCGTCCTTCGACTTCCCTGTCAAGGACTTTCGGCACCGTGCCCAGAAGCTCAACATGTTCCGTATGGACAACCTTGGACTGCTCACGGGTAGCCGGACATATGTAAGGGTCACTGCATGCCTGCTGCTGCACCTGCTGGCTGTAAGGTTTATACTTTTAAGCTATTTGAGCGATGGTCAAAACAATTGGTTAGTACGATAGTACGGTAGTCGATAGTACGATAGTCATGCAATGGGGATTTTATGAAGCATGTGATGCAATGAGCAGGTGTACCTTGGTGCATGAGCTTGTGCCAATTCGAGGAAGCTAAATCAGTAAGCCGGCACGCTTGTGAATGTGCGACGTGTGACTGTGTGGCGACGTGACTGTTCCAAACAAAATCGCTTGATTTGGATGGGACTGCGGATGCTAATGTGATGTGATGATTTCGTACGTTTGATGTACCGCTCATTTGTACATCCGTTTACTATACGGCGACACGAGTGCCCGGCCGGAGGTATCCCCGACACCAGGCCTGCCGGTGCTCTATGCCCCCTCCCCCTCATGTGCCAAAAGTACCTGAAGCACGAGCTGGCTGAGCTGGAGGCGGCCCTGGTGCGGCACGCGCTCTCCACGCTGACGGGCGCCGGCTTTCGGCTCGTGTCCGTGCCTGACCTGCTGCACTCGTCCTACCTGGAGGCCTGCGGTGTGCCTGTCCATGGCGACAGGACCATGGTGGGTGGCACCTAGATCGGCGCAGAGACTTCCACTTCCACCTTTCATTTATAAGAAATGAGCATGAATGACGGCAGCGGCGCGTCTGGAAAATGGCGAGATACACGAACTAAGGGCTGATTCATTAAATGTTTAAATATATTTGTGGCTGTTTGTTTCACAGTCGAATGTTTGTTGGCTTCAGCCATGAGTTTCCTTCGCATTGTCTCATGGATGGCATTCGATGGTGCGTATTTGTGTTACCTTGTAAGGCTGGTGCCACCTGATGCGAGTCAAAGAGCTCTTGTGCGGAATTGCGTATGATACAGAGGCCCCCAGTTACTTGACCTGCCATCGTTGTATGTCATATTCATCCGTCCGGACCCTGGATCAGTATGGCCCTCCATGTTTTCAACATGTAAGTCCGCTTAATGCCGCATCATGGTCACGTATCATTCTGTTGACTCAAAACCGGAGGCGCCACGCCGTGACGTTAGCGACGGTGCGGCTGCCGTGTCAGGTGTACTCGCTGGACGAGCGGCTGCACGGCGACGTTTGCCTGTCGGGGACAGCCGAGATGGCGCTGGCTTCGCTGCTGGCCGGCCGCCGCCTGCCGCCGTCGCGGCTGCCGCTCCGGCTGGCCGCCGTGTCACGCTGCTTTCGCCCCGAGGTCTCCAACCTGGAGGCTGAGTCCGGGTTGTACAGGTCAGAAGGTCGCGACCGCGGCGGCGGTGGCGTGGCGTGGCCTTGTGTGTTCTCACGATCTCGGATGGATCGGCTCATTGCGCGACTTTTCGTCACGTTGTTTCCTCTGGGGACTGAACCTGTGACATGAGCTACGCATCATTGTTTGGTCTATTTTACGGCACTGTCGCGTTTCCGCATATATCATTGCGTTCCATGACACGTATCCCATCCTTTTTCGCTTTCCAAGCACTTTCTTCTGGACAGCGGTCATAAAGTGCCAGAAATTGGGCTTACCCATTGTGCTTTCTGCAATTTGAATATAATCTTTACGGATAGCATCCTCACTTCTGAACGCCTTGGGGCTTAGAGTTGTCTCATCTTGCCAGTGCCTCCGTCGTGGTACCAGCTGATGGCACGTCGATCTTCGTCAACGGTCCGTCAGTATAATAAGCAGGGAACAGACATTCGTCCCGCGTCACTGTACGCGTCAGCGGTACCTCCGCTTCGCGAGCAGGGTAGAGGGAGGACAGCGCAGACCGTACCGATCGCTCCGCTCCGTGAGCAGGGTAGAGGGAGGACAGCGCAGACCGTACCGATCGCTCCGCTCCGTGAGCAGGGTAGAGGGAGGACAGCGCAGACCGTGCCGATCGCTCCGCTCCGTGAGCAGGGTAGAAGGAGGACAGCGCAGACCGTACCGATCGCTCCGCTCCGTGAGCAGGGTAGAGGGAGGACAGCGCAGACCGTACCGATCGCTCCGCTCCGTGAGCAGGGTAGAAGGAGGACAGCGCAGACCGTGCCGAGCGCCGTTCTCCGGCCCCACGATGTACCGCCTCCGCTGCAGGGTTCACCAGTTCACCAAGGTGGAGATGTTCGGCGTGTGCGACGGCGACCTGTCCGCATCGGAAGCCCTGCTGCAAGAGTTTGTGGACCTGCAGCAGCGCATCTTTACAGCTCTGGGGCTCCACATTATTATTTACGACATGCCTCCACATGAATTGGGTAAGGAGAACAATAGACTTTAGTCGTGTTCGAGAGGTGATCGATTTTTTATAAATGCATCAATCGATGGCGTTCTTGTTGAGGACAGGGCTTTCTTTCACGGTAAAACTATCGTTATATTTCGACCGCTGTCAAAGAATGATTTCTGATTGGGCATGCTTGTGTTGAAGTGTTGGCAGTGTTTCAATCAGATTTGTACCACTGGTGCACCCCAATAATTTACCGACGCTGAATAAAGCAGGGATAAACTAGACTTAATTGATTTAACTTAATTGAACTTAACTAAAATTTCTAGACATGCTTCTTGCAGTACTGCCGATAGCATTGTGCCTTCAGGCATCCATGAGTAAAAGGTAAAATGCATAATAAACAGGAAATGGTGTAAAATTCCGCCGAAGGATGTGCACAACTTTGCCACTGAGCGCAATGCGTGAGCTCCCCACGGTCGACGTCACTGCTGGTGCCCGATGAGCCCGCGTGCGCCGCTGGTGCTGACCGCGAGTGCTGCTGCAGGTGCCGCTGCCTACCGCAAGTACGACGCCGAGGCGTGGATGCCGGGCCGGGGCCTGTACGGCGAGGTGAGCAGCGCCAGCAACTGCACCGACTACCAGAGCCGGCGGCTGCGCGTGCTGGACGAGGCCGGCCGGCCGCTGCACACCGTCAACGGCACGGCCTGCGCCGTGCCCCGCACCCTGCTGGCGTTGCTCGAGACGCACCAGCGGCGCGACGGCTCGGTGGCCGTGCCGACGCCGCTGCGGCCGCTCCTCGGTGGCCTGGAGCTCCTCCGACCGCGGCCCGGCCGCGCCCAGTGGAGCCGGCCGCACCGGCTCCGACTCAG